TTACCTGCTTGCATTGCGAAAAGAAATGGTAAATTCGAGGTAAAGTAAAGGAAATTTTTCGGTAATAGTAGATAACATGGGCCTACTTGGCGAGAGAAACCCTGAAATGTTGCCCCGCTCTTAACCTCGAAGCATGGAAACTAGTTAGCGGCGCATAAGTAGCTGGGAGAATTAAAATGGCGGAGACTACAGGGCCAGTTATCAGCTCGGAGAATTTCGTTGTGACTCGTGAGCCTCCCTATGGGCATTTCCGACGAAATCGAAGACGCAACGATCGCTATTGATGAAACGAAGATCTCAGAGATTGACGCGACGAAGCGACGATTTAGAAATTATTGCGTTCAGACAAAATATTAGTCAGTCCGACCTAAAAAAAATTAAATATGAAAATTATAAGTCATCTGACCCCCAATCAAACCTGAAATGTGGAAGATAGTGTACTTGATAGAAAAAAGAAAAGGTTAGGAAAGGATTTAAAAAGGTCCGTGTGCGTGACTGTTGATGATTGATCATGATTAGTAGATCATTCAGTCCGATTGATTGATGACCATTGTTATCAGCGACGTCAACGACCCCCGCTGACCTGTTGCCTTGTGGTCTTGTGTGACCCTCAATTGCTTTAGATCACCTCCAACATCTCGGATGGCAGAGTTCGATGCGGAAGTCAAATTTTCTTTGTTTACTCTTAACTCTAAAGAGCGTGAGGTACCATCGATCAAGTCATGGTGGTGCCGAATAACGTTGAAAGAACAGGGAATTCTCCAAGCACTCGAGAAACGCTTGAAAACAAAGGTAAACTGCCTTAATATATTGTTGTCTGTGTCTGAAGGTCACACAATATATGTTTGTGATACGGGGTCACAAAAAATCAGAATCATTACCCCTACATTATCACTGGCTACCTACTTAGAAAACATACGAAAAATGTCTTAGGTGTTCTCAGTCCACTCGGACAAAACGAAATGTGGTTACGATCAAGACGTAAACCTTGATGAGGTAATCAGCAACATGAACAGGGTTAGAGACTATTTCGAAAATCTTGTATGCAGGATTAGGGAACACGTCGAGAAACCAAACTTGCGTCCTGAAGGACCACACGGTTCACTAGCTTACATCACAGGTGAAGCAGTAACCTGGGTGTTAGACACCCTGAAGTCATTAAAGGTAGTATTCAGCAATCTAAGACCAGATTACATGCAGGCCTTCCGCTCGCTTTCAATTCTCACCCTGGTAGTGGAGCACCTTTTTTCGAGCATGCATGAACGGTATCCCATGCCATACTTGTTACAATATGCTCAATTGTTGATGCCTACCATACAGGAGATTGTGAAGAAGCTAATAAAATACATCTTTCATATACTACACTCGGAAGACAGCCCACTATCCGGATCCGGCAGCGTCAATGCATTATTCAAATTTAACATGGCCGGAAAAACCGCCAAAAGTAACACTTTCAGCTCAAGATCTTCAGTTACTACAAGAATGGCAGAGGCAATACTGTGGGGGTGTTCGGCAGCGATCTGTCCGAGACATTAGCAAGTATGATGCTGGTACTCTACCATTGTTTGCAAGTGCAGAAGAGACAAATCCAGCTGAGGTAGGCTGCAACACAACGCGTTTTGAAGGAGAGCAAACTGAAGAGGAGAATCAACCACTGGTCGGTGTCGAGGTAGATAGCTCAACGCCAGTCTTGTTCAAGAAGGGAGAGTTTTTAGCTGTCAAGCCTGGATTTGAAATAAATGCACCAAGTCAGGTTTCAAAAGCAAACTTCCACATTGTGATGACTGAATCAGATTTTCCTGACAATCCGAATGAGACGGCGGCTATTGATGTGATGTGGTTGTTTCCAACTGAGACAATAGATGAAGAGTTTGGCTGCTTTGTGGCTGTGGGATTGGGGATGGTTTTAAAAAAGGGCATCTTGTTTCCCCTGGGGGGATATGACTTTAACGCGAGCGTGGCTTGTGATAGCGACCAAAGCGATATTGTGTACATCTCGGACTCGTATTATTCGCGTATTTTAAACTCGATAAACAAACGAAATCCAACAGCTTTTGCAATTGCAGAAGTAACCGAAGCAGAGCTGGAGGATGACAACCTGGGGCTTGAACAGATTTTGGATAGTGAGTTCGATGGTGTTGACGGAGGACATGAAGAAAATGTTGTTCTTCATCCCCAGGAAGGAATTGCCGAAATTCGAAGTCGTAGAGAAAGGGGTGTGAGGAAGTGAAACTTTGATGACATGGTTTACTACTAAAAAGGTACCCTGATCAACAGTGTCATTAGTGCAGCCAGTTCTAAGGGAGACGTGACAACATATCATTCAAGTAGCGTCAGTAACTAGAACCGTAAATAGGTTTTGAACAATTTTTGACAATCATACCATCTTTTTCTCAACTGCAATAACAATTGAATGTCCAGTGTTATATAAAATCACGTGTCACTTTTTTTAAGTGAAAATGTCTTTCAGTTACCAATATCGGGTCATTAAAGCTCTCGCGCAAAACAATTCTAGATATAAAAGCGACCAAAAGTGACGATTTCGTTGAAAAATCGACGATTTGATGAGAAAGCGCGACGAAATCGACTTTCGTACGCACCCATAGAGAGGCTCACTCGTTAGTTTCTGGACAGGTGTGAGGTAACGATGAATGCTTTTAAACCTGTAATACTGTCACCAGTCTAGAGATAAAACTTGAATGCTTAGAAGGTCCAGCTGATCCGATTAACAGTGGAGGAAGACCTTAGCATGTGGTTCTCGGTATGGTGTTGGAGTGTTTTGTCTAACTGAGGCAGGAGAACAACAAATTGGTTGGGTCCCTTAAAAGGACTGTGCAATTTTGGATACTGTTGGAAAGACATGCGACTTGCCAAACTTACATGCCAACATTGACAGTGCAAGTGGCAAAAATATGGGAGACAAGTTTACCAAGATAACAACTTATATGAGAGCACGATCCTTCGCAGTAAAGCACTATTTGAGCAATAGTGAAAATCAGACCTGAAAAAAATTTCAGGCCTGTACGGGATTCGAACCACTGACCTCTGCGATACTAGTGCAGCGCTCTACCAATTGAGCTAACAAGCCAACTGGGAGCAGGCCATCAAATTAATTCGACATAAACCCGTAGATGATAAATCAAACAACAACAAACATATGAAACATATGTGTGAACTGCGGTTATGAGACGTATATGAGAACGATCCTTCGCAGTAAAGCACTATTTGAGCAATAGTGAAAATCAGACCTGAAAAAAATTTCAGGCCTGTACGGGATTCGAACCACTGACCTCTGCGATACTAGTGCAGCGCTCTACCAATTGAGCTAACAAGCCAACTGGGAGCAGGCCATCAAATTAATTCGACATAAACCCGTAGATGATAAATCAAACAACAACAAACATATGAAACATATGAGACGTATATGAGCACGATCCTTCACAGTAAAGCACTATTTGAGCAATAGTGATTTACTGTTGTTTGATTTATCATCTACGGGTTTATGTCGAATTAATTTGATGGCCTGCTCCCAGTTGGCTTGTTAGCTCAATTGGTAGAGCGCTGCACTAGTATCGCAGAGGTCAGTGGTTCGAATCCCGTACAGGCCTGAAATTTTTTTCAGGTCTGATTTTCACTATTGCTCAAATAGTGCTTTACTGCGAAGGATCGTTCTCATATACGTCTCATAACCGCAGTTCACACATATGTTTCATATGTTTGTTGTTGTAAGATAACAACTTTTATGATTTGTGAGGCTTTGTGAAATAATTAATAATCAAGTTATTTTTAATTAATTATGTGGGAAATGTATTGATAGTTTTATGTAAATCATGTCTCTTTTCTAAAATTAAAAATGTGTATCTTTATGTGTATATTTTTGATAGGTATGTTTGATGTTGGGCATATAATCCATAATGTATTCCTGGCTATTTATTCACTAGTTTTGATTGTATAATTTAACAATAATTGTTGTGGTAATTCTGTCTAAAAATTTTAAGCTAAATTGGTTTCCTGGTTTCCTATTTATTCACTAGCTGTGACTGTATAATTTAACAATAACTGTTGTGGTAATTCTTCCTAAACATTTTAAGCTAAATTGGTTTCCTGGCTATTTATTCGTGTATATTTTTGAGAGGTATGTTTGATGCTGGGCATTTAATCCATAATGTATTCCTGGCTATTTATTCCCTAGCTGTGACTGTATAATTTAACAATAACTGTTGTGGTAATTCTGGCTAATTATTTTTAGCTTAATTGGTTTCCTGGCTATTTATTCACTAGCTGTGACTGTATAATTTAACAATAACTGTTGGGGTAATTCTTTCTAAACATTTAAAGCTAAATTGGTTTCCTGGTTATTTATCGCTAGCTTTGACTGTATAATTTAACAAGAACTGTTGTGGCAATTCTGTCTAAACATTTTAAGCTAAGTTGGTTTCCTCGCTATTTATTCACTAGCTTTGACTGTGTAATTTAGTAATAACTGTTGTGGTAATTCTGTCTCATTATTTTTAGGTAAATTGGTTTGAAATCTGGATATTTTAGACTATGGTGATTTATAAGCATACAAAAGTAACCAAAATGACTGTTGTGTTTATTGCAAGGGATTCTGTAAATATTTTCAAGGCTTATGGAGAGACTGTTGCTAACTTTGATTTTATCACTTCAGTCAAATAAAATGACTTTAAGTCGCCTTAAGTTGCCTTAAGTCGCCTAAAGTCGCGATGTTTTTTCTGCTAATTTTGCTTAAGTCGCCCAAGGTTACGGCGGATCTTTAAAAAAATAACGGTACAAAAAGTACAAAGGGAACAAAAGAACCCAAGATTATTTTAATTATCTTGGGTTCTTTTGTTCCCTTTGTAGTTTTTGTACCGTTATTTTTTTAAAAACTGAAAAACCCTACTCACGAACCTACGCAAAATCTAAACCCTAAAAACCCCTCCTACGCCTACGCGAAATTTAACCCTAACCCTAATAACCCCTCGTACACCTACGCGAAATTTAACCCTAACCCTAATAACCCCTCGTACACCTACGCGAAATTTAACCCTAACCCTAATAACCCCTCGCGCACCTACGTGGTATGAATTACTAATTAGACCTAACTCGGCCGAGCCACTCGGACCCAGACCTCTACGTAATCACGAGTAAGGCCCCCTATACTACTTCCCGGATACTGATTTGCATTCTCGAGAGCAAATCTCACAATGATTTTCGAATCTATCATGCAAGGGGACCCAAAAAATCGTATGTGCCTAATTTATTTGTGTAAGGAGAATTTCAGCGCCATCTATAGAAAATTAATAAAAAGTGTTTAACTTTCAATTTTTGAAGAGTTTTTATTTAATGTCGAAGACGTGGGAAGCGTTTGCACTATCTTCCGAGCCAGAGGCTCAGATTTTGCGTACAATTTTGGATCAATCAGCGTGATTAAAACTTTCAGATGCCACCCAAATTTTACGAGCTCATAGGGCGAGTGTAAATTATAGTCTTGGAAAAATCTACGAGTGCTGATTTATCCCAAATTGCACACGAAATGAACTGATTACCTGTTGATAATTTACATACAACAATGTTGACACTGTTTTCCTATTTAATCGCGTTTACGAGGTGTCGTGGCTCGCTGGCTCGGGCGCTTGCGTTGACTTTGTTCTCGAAGTAGTCAGGCCTTTCCCTCAAGAACTTAATTGCTTCGAGTTTATAAGCTCTCTTCCACAAATAATCGAGTTTTTGTGTACTTTCTTTTTTGTTGTGGGTTGTCAGTCCTATCTGAACTGTTATCAGTTCAAGGGAGTTCTTCGTACCTATATCCATTTCGGCCTCTTTTTGTTCAGTCAGTTAATTTGAGGAAAACTAATTTTGATCGGAATTCTTAATTGGATTAAATTCACTTGACAATTCACTAAACAATCCTTTTTTCCTCTGATTGAGATCTACTTTACCCAAGCGAGTTGAAAAAGCTTTATTTCTATTAGACTCGAAAAAATTAGTGAACAAGTTCTCCAACTCGAAACCAGTGCAACATTTTCAGTGCTTTTCTGGTAATTTCTCACCGATATCACTACTGTCTTTGAGTCCTTTTTGGTTACGTCTGCCTTTGAATTTGATCCAGTGGATATTTCATTGTACAAATAGAAAAATCGATCATCTAATGCCTAAAATAACTATAAAAAAATACCTCTTCTTCTGATACACTCCATTGAATGTACATATCCTGCTTTAATCCCAACTGTAATAGATTCTCTCGCGTGACAAATATAAAGCTGTTTACTAACAGCCTTAGGTCCCATTCACACCAAAGCTTGAATATGTTTTAAAGGTGTGGTGTTAAACTCGGTTTAAATTTTTTCTCTTCATCGAAGCTTCTTAAGTTAGCGATTATTTGAATCATAGGGAAATTTTATTTTCCAGTTCTCTGTTTTTGATATTCATTCATCTAAACCCTTTTTAACAAAACATAATTTACTGGTGTGATAGGGTATTAGCCGCAACTAGATTTCAACAAAAGAATAAAATTCAGATAGACAAATTCATTTTGTCACTGTATGACAAAATGATGTTAACAAGCTTTGTGTTGATCTTTTCTTCTTAGCATGATAGCATTAAATTTCCAGGCAAAAATTGCTTCTAAACTAATCGTTATTTTTCTACGACCGTCACGAAGAAACCTACATGTTAATTCAGAACGTACGTAAACTCGTCTTACTTAATTAGCTGTTGCATGGGACTATATAGTGTTTCAACTTGGACAGTAATCAATAGTAATTCGTGACCCTGTAATCATTACATCAAGTTCCTTTGTGAATTGAAACACGAGACCCTGGTTCTAATCCAACTTCAAGAATTTTAAGATAATCATACTGACGGTACAACCCTAAGGTAAATCTAATGACGAACTCTGCTGGCCAATATCTAAAAAATCCACGTATCCCTTCCCAAGTTGTTTCCCATCCCATTCGTTCTCTTATGAAGTCTGGATAGTTCCGGTCTCTGGTCTCATCGATATTATATTTATCGAAAAAAATGGGCCAAAAAGTCTTAAAAAATATGCTGTTTGTGACTTCAAAACATACCTGAGTTAAATGCCATAGCAGCATGCTATCTTCGTACTGTTTAATTAGTACTTCAATTTTTTTTTCATCCCTGAAATATGGTCGAAATTTAGAAAAAGCCATCTTGTAACAAGGTAACAAGAAAAATCTTTCCTCATGCCAGGCTCTAATCATATAAAAAAGTCGCAATTCTAACTTTGAAGAATTTAACTCACCATATACGTATCTATGATTCAAATATCTGTCAATCCATAAAGACACCCTCCAAAGTTCATTTAAGCAGACATTGTTTGGTATCCTTGAGGGAAAACCTCGACGTTTTAAAAGCAGAATTTGCTGGATTAATTCTAAAAAAGTGATAACCTTAAGATTACTAAAACGAAACTCCAATAAGTGTGAAGTTAAGGAATAACAGCTCATAGAAGATACATGACTGGGATAAGACACTAATTCTGCGAACAACTCACGAACACCAGGTCTTAAATTCACCTTCTCTTCCTTCGGAATCCAATCGTACAACCTGTAATAGATGACATTGTACTCAGCATGTCTACTTGGATACTGCATATGTCCTCCCATTTTTTCAATAAACTCCACAACCCTGGCCCACGGGTTCGAGAATTTGAAAACACCGTCCTCCTCGTGTTTGCTGGATATCTTTGCCAAGTACATTGGTGTTATTCCATCTCTGTTAGGACAATCAACATCTAACTGATGAGAGTCTTTATCTTTAAATATCTCCTTAATAAAGTGCAGCAAGCCTCGTGAGGCTGCCAAGTGGTATAAAGTTAGCTCAGCTTTACTGGAGTCACATATAATTTGGTAGCCACTTGTCTTCATTTTATGGCGAAGAAGTTCTAGGGCCACAACAGAAACTCTGTACAATTTCAAGTGATCATATTGGTCGGACAACCACCATGAGGTATTTCCAGCATGGAGAAGAGCTAGTGTCAAAGCATCGTATCCATCTGGGCTTAGGGAAGACTGGTTTGCACCGTGCCTTATGAGGTTGGAAACAGCAACTGTATTTGCGCCTTGTGCTGCTCTATGTAAAGGTGTAAATCCTTCGGCATCTAGACAGGAATCGATTGACTTGTACTTCAAAGGATGATTTTCAATATATGTGAATATAGGCCCATTTTTAGAGGAGCACGAGTGATCGTCACACAAGATCTCTTGAAAAAAATTATCATCTTCCATGCTCGGAGGGGTATAACATATCAAATGTAACTCAGAGGTGTTGAATGGCTTTCCACACTTTATTTCTATTGGAGCATTGAACCGTTTAAGGACCACGTCTACCCCGTCACCACCAACTTGAAGGAAAGTTAAGAGAGGCGTCCTTCCTTGTTTATCTTTACAGGTGACACTTGCTCCGTTAAGTAGCAGAAGCTGAAGAATGAGCAGCCGATTTTTCATGATAGCATGGTTTAGTAAGCTCTCCCCAGAATGATTACAAATCATCAGTGACGCTCCAGATGAGAGAAGAAGATATATTACCATTTCGTGATCACTTAAATACTCTTGAAGCTGATCTATGGTATCTCCAATTGTGAATATCCACTGCTTGGGTGCCACTGCGGCGTTCTTGATAGCCGCAGTCAATGGTGCTTCACCAGTCCTATCAAGAACGTCAAGCTGTGACTTTCTTTGTATTAGAACGTTGACAGCGTCGGCCAAACCATTTTTTGCAGCTACATGCAATACTGAGCGACCATGTACATCCAATGCATTTATATTGGAACCGAGTAAGATCAAATTGATAAATACATCCAGCCATCGGTAAAAGTTCGTGTTTCTAACGTAGTTATTCTCATCTTCGTAAAACTTAGCAAGATGATGTCGAAGATGGCTAGGCTGTACGTTAAGGATACAGTAATGCAGGGCTGTGAGGTTACTGTCATCAGTTGCATCAAGGATCGCTCCATGGTAAACTAACTGGTCAATAACCTCTACAGCTCCACATGCTGCAGCGCTATGAAGAGGTGTCGATCCGTTAGAAGTTTTGCTACTAATGTTAACACCGAACTTAACAAGGACTTCTACTACATGTTGGTGATTATGGCAAGTGGCTACATGAAGTGGAGTCACCCCCAAACAGTCTTTAGACTCAACCATTGCCTTGTTCTGTAGGAGATCAATAGCAATTTCCCAGTTTCCATACCTCGCGGTCAGATGAAGAGGTGTGTATCCACAGTGGCACATTTCTTGGTTATATTCCATCAATTCCTTGTGATTCATAATCGAATACATTCCACGGAAACTCGGAGGATATTCGCATGTTGAGTCTACTTCTGTCTGGTCTTCTTTAAGCAGAATAGTAACTATTTCTCTGTTGTTTCTTCGAACAGCTTCGTGTAAGGGTGTCCTACCTGAATAATCCTTACACGCTAGCGCGCTTTTGTCCCTAGAAATAAGCTCCTTGACCACCTCATTATGGCCATAGGATATTGCTGAGTGTAGCGCAGTTTCGCAGTAGATTAAATGTTTGTCATCGAATAGCTCACCAAACAAAACTCTAGAGTTTTCTGAGATGCCATTCAATCCGCCTGCATAAACAACTACATGTTTAACTTTAGACTGTAACCGGTACTTTTCAGACTTCAACCAATGAAAAGAGCCATCACATCTCATGCATGTATCTTTTACACCGACATCCAGAAGATATTTCACCACATCTAACTTGTTGTTTTGTGCTGCATGATGTAGAGCGGTTTGATCTGCAACTTCACCAGCCTTGTGTAATGCCTTCACCACTTCCAAGTGTCCTTTCTCAGCGGCAATCTGAAGTGCCGTTAGGTTAACTTCGTTTGCAATGGAAATGAATGCTCCATTGTCCAGAAGGAAATTTACAACCTTCAGATGACCTGCATGCGCAGCAGCGTGAAGCATGGTGGCCCCCCTAAACTTCAATTTCGACTCCAAAACTAAATCGGGAATATAACGGTAGCTTTCAAAACCCAGCGAAGAAAGTGATTTTGTTCTAAGATTAACATCGGCTCCTTTCTTCACCATTAAAGCAAGATTGTCTACAAGTCCGTGCTCAGCCGCTAGAAAAGCGGATGTTTTTCCAAAATTGTCAGCGGAATCGATGTCACTAAAGTGGCGCAACAGAAGCTCCAGTACGTCTGTGTTATTTATTGTGGCTGCGAGGTGCAATACTGTCCTATTACTTTCAGGATCCGACGAATTGACGACCTGAGAAGGAAAGTTGAGAAATTTTTCTACGTATGCCTCCTTCCAACCGCCATAAGCTATGTGTTGCGCCAAAGAAAGACTGTACTTTAATAACGCAGGCTTACCTTCCTCGGTAATACATTTAAAGTAAAAATTACAAAGTGCTTCGTGTCCTTTTATTCTATTTACGTAAAATAGCCCATTTCTACCATCGTCGCTTGTAAGCCACTCGGTTAAAGACAAGTGATACAGTGTTACTGTATCATCCTTTCCGTATCTCAGGAAATGTCCAAGCTCCTTCATTCCATTTTTAAAATCATAGTCTTGTTCCAGGTTTGCCTCCTGTACTCTAAGAACGTCAAAAATTTCTTTCGGTGTGAGTGGCTGAAAAGTGGCCACGAGTAATTCTAAAATCCGTCTTACAGGTTTGAAATGTTCCTCTCCATGATATAATCTTTGAAAATAGTTGTAATATAACTCTTCTATCGTTTCAGGCAATGCATGTGGATCATTTTTTATGATTCTTGTAGCTTCCCAGTGACGGATCATTTCTTTAACAAACAGGAAATTTCCCTGGCTTTTGCTTAACAAAAGAGAAATCAACCTAGCTGTGTTTTCTAAGCTAGCATCTCCAAACCAAGCTTTAACGCGGTGGAGCAATGGACCATCTTGATAAAATCGAGTAGTTAAAAACATTTCGATATCTTCAGTGTTGCGAGAATCCTCAGGACCAATGACTAGCTTCTTTATGCTCCTTAGATTAAAGGAAACGGTAGACTCATTACGAGATGTCATCACAAGCTTGAGCCAAGACGGAAAACGGGATAGTTTGTTATTGAGCAAATATACGATACTTAGCCTAAATTCCGTTTGTGTGAGGCATTCATCCAAAGCATCAATCACTAAATACCAGTTTTCCTTTGGTACATTCGTGAGGCTTTTCAAGGGTGACAAAACTGCTTGTTCAAAACAACCCACTGGATCTTGATTGTTTGCACAGTCAGTATGCAGTGAACGCAGAATGTACGAACTATTGGAGACTAGGAAACCGTATTCGGGGATCCTTCGTGCGATCATCTCTGCTAAATTACGAACAAACCTGCCTGCAGTTTGTGTATTCTTGTCAGAATATTTGCATAGATGGTACCCTAAGATATGGGCATGGATGATTCGACTTGATGTTGGGGAGCAAATCAATTGAGCAGACAGGGCAGACTTTCCAGCTCCTGGATCCCCAATGATTAGAACTCCAGTTAGGTAATTTTCTTGAACCGAATGACCAAAAACAGATTCCAGCTCTCGATAAAGCCAACTGCGACCGATGAACTCTTCTTTTGCACTATTCAAATAGTCAAACCAACCAAACTCTTTTGTGTCAAATGGGACACTCAGATTTTCGAACGGGCAGCCTGCGAAAAAATATTTAACAATCATTCCATTCGCGCTTGTTGGCTATGAGCTGGTAAATAGCCCGTAACGAGGCGCTTAGAGTCGAGTTGGCCATAACTAATCTCGTCTCCAACAAACATGGATGGAATAACTGTTTTATTAAATTTCATAAATATTTGAACGTTTGGATACGTAGGTTTAAAGCCAAACAGTTTTAGTCGTAATATTTGGAGTTAAAAACTTGAGATATCATTTGGTTTCTTCCACACAGAAGTGGTAGAGTTGGCAGTAGCGGTTCCAGGGGGAATGTCCGGGGACCAGGCCCTCCCCCTCTATCAGACCTACTACTAGTCTGACACTAGAATTCTTGAAACGAAAGAATTGCACATTACTCTATACTCAATCTGAAATATTTACAATTTACTCATATTTAAATACTTTTTAGCTCAGTTAGGCTAAAGTGCAAGGAAACAAAATATTACGCTGAAAGTAACCAGAAGCGAGTATAGATCTTTCTAAGAGGGCTTAATATGTTCAAAGAAGGATAAACGAGGTGTGCTGCGGCTTCCACCAGTTCGCACATCCTAAGTCAGAGTTAGAACTAATTATAGATTTACTAACCGTCTCTAATAAAGGTGTTATCATCAAGCTTGACAAAGAGGCTCAAACAGAGAGCCATAAACAACCATATCATCAAGGCTTGTCTGATCCGTTTGAGACTCCTGACCAGGCTACTGAGAAAGCTTTCTAAACCTTTTAGTACGAAGTGAAATAGCGTTAAAAAGCCGTTCCTTTGCTCTAAGTCTTTCAATTTGTTTTCCAAAAGTAACACTAGCTGTTTCATTTGGTCCAACTGCTCCTGGCTGGTTCGGGACTGTTGCATTACGAGTGAAATCTCCTTGTTCAGCACTTTAATAAGCTCTGCCACTACCTGAGCCTCAAAAATGTGCAAGTCTGAAACATTCTTAAGGTTTTCGATTTCTCTGAGCGCATTCTGCGCGTCTGGATCTGTGGCTAGAGAAGGACTCCTCAGCAAGTTTTCGATGGAGTCAAAAGCGACGGTCTTCTCTGCATTGGGCAACTCAAGCCTCGGCACATGCACCCATTTGTCGTTTCGAGTGTCGCGGATATCTTTAATCAAAGCTTGAGGAATGGTGAAGTGATTGCACCAGTACATTAGGTTTAAGATACCAGTGATGTCCATGTCGTCTGCACTCTTGATATCAGCATGTCCACCTAGATCAGGAAGGTAAAGTTTAGCAATTTCCCACGGACCAAGAGCTGGGTCCATCCATTTTCCTGGATCACTTTGCCTCCAGTTTGGTTTGTATCTATGGTGATAAGCTTCAAGTATGTTTGCCCATGGGCATGTAGTCATATCTTGGAACTCATTTGGCCTTCTTCTCGGGACATGGACACATGTGCAGGGTCCAAGGACTCTTGCTGTTAAATTCCTATGGAAAGCCTCCATCTCTCGCGTAATAAACGGACGAAGTCCCTGACAGAGGACCGTTGTCAAGGCATGACCAAGAGCGAGCCAGTTTCTGTACTCTGGTTTAACGAGTTGTCCTGCTATCCCTGGTGTGCTTGATGACGCCATATCTGAACGTATTGGACTACACAAAGAAAAACAACACGAACGATCACGCCACAACGAGATATTTTTCTTTGCTCCGTCATGCATATAATTTTTTTCATACATATTTACCTTTATCATGAATACTTTTTTTAAACAGTTTTTTTTAGATTACGGGCTCAAAAATAATTTCAAAGGTTCAGCGACGTTCTTGGCCGACCTTCAATCACTTTAGCCGCGAGAAGAGCGTCTTTTGGCTCGTCAAGCAACCGATAAAGCCTCTCTAAATCGTTGCATTGCGAGTCTAATTTACCGACTGATCGTCACCTGTGCATATATGTGGAAGTCAACACTAATACCCAATAAATATTTGCTCTGTAAAGTGCTCGATCATATATTCGGTTTTTATCTATCCCTTTGGTTTTGTTGGCTTGCTTGATTCTTTTTCCGTTACAAACTGTTTTGAAATATGACCTCTTCACGCTTGGTGAATCATTAAAGTGTTCAAGAAGTGATAAGGATTGTTTTTGTATTCAGCATGTCTGGTGAAAGAAACCAAAATACTACTTGTCAAAAAACTACATATTCTTTGCCTTAACCTAATCCGAAGACTTGACATCGGTAAGCAACCATTGCTTAGCAATCCATTCGCTTTGCAAGTCTACAACGGTATTTCTTACTTAATGATTAAAGCATCGAATAATAATTCAAATGGCTACCTTGTAGACTAAGGAGAGCCTTTGTGGATATCTTACAGTTGTTTCTGTCGCCTAGTTAAACCCCTTAGTTTATCATTTCCAGGTAATTCTCTGACATTTTTAAGAACTGCAAATTTCAGTTCGCAGACTACTATATATTATATTGATTATGCTAACCTCACCGCATTCATTAACCGCTCGGAACTTTTTAAAGTCGATAAAGGAGGAAGAAAATCAACCCAAATGAAGAAGAATAAAACACATGTAGGGATGATACCTTGGGTCTGACGTACAACACGATGAGAGCCAGATTTCTCGGGTTGAAGACTGCTCGGGATACAGCAAATTTGGACTGAAATTGCCCTGAGGTCGAAAGCGGAAACGATATGCAAATTTGTCGCATTAGATCGCAGTCGATAATGGCAGGGAGAATATAAAATTAGATGGCGAGATATTCTCGCGCCCAGATCCCCACGTAAGGAAAATCACACAGCCTTAAAGAAAATTATGAATGTAAAGACCTAGTTTAGATCGCATTACCCTCATGATTTAATTCAACCATATAAAAAAAATTAATAGTAAACAAAAGTGATAAAAGAAAAGAAAATGTTGATCTCTCACACTCGACTTTCCAAGCGGATCTCGTAAATTTTTACAGACTGGCTCATTTTTAAAAGGCACAAGGAATAACTCCATACTGATAAGTCCCTGGTTCAATGGTTCACTATCAGTAACGACGCAATTCCTTCAAGTAGGTACACTAAGGAATAAGTTTGACGAAAATCAGAGGTTGTTCTGAATAAAACAATAAGCAGCGGACCTCAAATTCCCCATTTCACACAGCTTTATCCCTTGAGTTCAAGCATATGTTATCATCTATTACTTGTTGATACGATAATTCGACGAGGTCATTAGGGGCTTAAGACTCTCACCATTTTCTAATATTTCTCTATGAAGAACTTCCTGGCACTCATCTCTAGTTTTGGATTGAGGAATGCAACTGTCTCAAACAAAGATCTATCGATCAGTCGCCCAGTATTAACAACTCAGTGGCCCACTAGCGTATCTCTTTCACGCGTTGGAGCGTTACATTTCTCTGTTACATGAAAACCAAACTTACCGGTAATTCATAATTCTGCTTTGACTGAGACTTTATTTAAATGAGAATGCACTTTTTATCGTGTTCATAGAGAGGAACTGCTGTTATCTTGCAGAGTTCTGCTTTATCTTATAAGCGACAGACCAGCAAAGGAAAAACTGAAAGGGTCAGAAAAAAACCGCGATGGAGTTGTTTCTCGGCTGTCTCTTCGCACTTATAAAGCGTTCCAAGCCAACCACTTGGTTCCCATTTGTGTCTTTTGAAAATTCGATGCTGGAGAAAGGTTGAAATTAGCACTGCAAAAAAAATAAAAAACAAAAAAAAAAAAAACGGTGATTTGAACCCCGATCGTATTGGCTTGTCCCGAGGACCGATAGCTTTCTTTTTAGTTCACCTTTTATTCTCGTCGAACCCCAAAAGGGTTTGTGAGGCGAAAAGTGCAATTTTACTACAGATTTCCCTACCAATTCTTACTTTTTCACTCGAGACAACAACAGAATAGATTCTACAATGAAAAATTTCCTTGGTTTATTCGGCGAGTTAGAATAAACCTTTAAAAATTTTTTTATAACCTTCTTTTTTAACCTGTTTCCTAGTAAGTTATTGCATCAAAAGGGTGAGTGCAGGGCCGGACGGCTTTTTCCGGACCGGCTCACGTCAACCCCTTCGGCCCTACACACGTCAGCCACGGGATAGCACGGGTGGGGCTGCACGGGTCATCTGAAAATAATCTAAAAATGAAAGGGGGTTTGCGCTTCTGTACACAGCTTATGATAAGTTGCCTCGGCTCGCCATATTTTTTTCAAAGGGGCTGCTCTTAAAATTCAAAGCATCACAATGAACACTGGGGTGTGATACTATCCTGCAAACATAACTCCATCGACTCTGTTCGTATAGCATTGGGCAATAACAGTGGGTGCTAAGAAAATAATACGATGGGGGATTGATGGTGCAGTGCTATAGTTAAGAATTAATGGGATTTTCTGCGACGAACTTGACATCTCCGTGGTCACTTTCAAGAAATTTAAATAGGTAAAATCTGAGACGAATAGAAGTTCTCTGTAAACTTCTTCCCTCCAATATTGTACAAACATAGCAAACAAAGTGCAATATTGTTCGGTGTAGTGAGGGGGGAGAGGAGAAAGTAAGAGTATTGGCGATAAGATGGGCATGCTTTTCCATAATTTTGCGTTCACAGTGATAATGGATCAGCAATTATACAGATGGTTGAATACACCCTTCCTAAAGAATATTATTACTGGAAATTTAGGTAGTTGCTTGATATGATTAAAACCTTCAGCAAAGTTGACTACTTTTGATTTTCTTGTAAGTAATACTACCACAGAATGATGCGACAGATGCCAATCACACTTTTCCAATCATATCAAGAGCGTCCTAGCTGCGCACACGTATAAATCCAAGTTAGTGCGGATTGATCACATTTGCACCACTTTCCATGACCACTAGATAAAGTAATACTCTATTACATATCTTAGTTAAGTCAAGAAAGCCAGCGATCTTAAATGAACAAGTATCTTTAAAGTCACAAGTACTTTATATGAAAAGTTCTTGCCTAAACAAATCACTGATCTTTATTTTCATTAATCATAGCCTTCATTACATCCTCGCCATTCTACCGCATCAATATCTGTGGATAACATACCAATCTAACCTCCAAAGTCTAAGTACATCTCCAAAACAGGTCATTTGAATGAATGAATTCTACTGCTAAACGTGGTGATACCACGGGGCCCTTGTTTTATAGTCTCGTGGGCTTCCCCGCCATCGTAACCTATTTATCATTACACCTGTAATTTTATTTATGTTGAACAAAATTGAATTGAGCTCTAACCCAAACTTTCTGGCCAGTATTTACTGTCCAGCTAGCTTTTGTCGGAAAGCTTGCGTCGATTAGATGTTTTTTCCTTCTGTATAGACCTATCTCAATAATATTCTAGTCATACTGTCAGTTTGTTTCCAGTGAATATTCCAGGCTAGTTTCTCACAACACTTTGAAAAGTATAATTTCATTTTAATTTACCTCAGTTGAGCAAAATACGTGTCTCTGGTTCCAGTCCAACGTTCAGAATTTTCTGATAATCGTAATGACTGTGTAGCCTAAGGGAAAACTTGAAAAAAAGCGGTTCTAATGGCCAAGATTCAGCAAAATCTCTTGTCTATGTTCTCTTAGCAGTGTCTCCGAGTCGGTCCCTTATGAAGCCTACATAGTTCTGGCCCCGGTTGTTCGAAGGATGGGTAACGCTATACACTGTATAAATCTCTATCCGGTGGATAGCCGCCAGTGCGTTTTGGTAACACTTATCCGGTGGATAGCGATTTATCCGTTGGATAGCGTTATCCGCCCTTTGAACAACCGGAGCCTTATGTAAAAATTTAAACTCCCTTTAGTCATCACTGTCCAAATATGACCTCAAATTCAAACGAAATGCATCTTTAACTACATGACAGATACCATGTAGGTACCATAGTGAAATGTTATCTTCGTGGTGTTTAACGAGAAGATATAATTTTCTTTCATCGATATCAAATGTAGTCGATATTTACAAAACATCATCCTGTAACCAGGGAAAAATTCAAATGCTTCCATATGCCACAACCTCATCAAATAGAAAAGCTGCCTCACGAACTCAGAAGAGTAAATATCAGGTAAGTAAACATCACCAAAACGTTCACGTAACCATGTCGATATCTTCCTGAATTCACATGCACAAGGGTGCTTTGGTATTCGGGATCGCAAATTGTGACCTGTTAGATATAAGCTGGTAAGCAGCCCGTAACAGAGCGCGTAGCGCTGAGTTGTCAATAACTAATCTCGTATCCAACAAGTGTGAATGGAATAACAGTTTCATTAGATGTAATGAGACCCTGAACGTTTGGACATTTGGAGCTTTGATCCTAAATTTTCAGCTCTGAAACAATTGGCAGAATGCGTTTACATGCAAGGTGACTCGGAATAATAATAATAATAATAATAATAATAATAATAATAATACTAATAATAATAATAATCTTTCTTCTCTCAAGATAAAAGTACATATATATAAAAGTATATATATTTCAAGTTACAACATTAAAAGATATGCAAGTTACAATATTAAAAAGATATGCAAAAGATAATCTAAGAATCATTAAATGTAACTAGACAAATGATAATCTAAATATTACAATTTAAAACTAGCCTATTTACATTCTTAAACCTTTCCGAATTTATTCCAGGATAATGGACAGTTTTGTTTCTGAGGTTGTATTTTGTCTCTTTTTTCTTCGGAATAATTTTGCTTAGCTGGCAATTGGGGTCAGCGGATCGTGCCTTTGAGAGCTTCCTATCTGCCTTTTGTAATAGGTCTCGAATAATAATAATAGTAATAATAGGTCTTCATTGCTTTTAAGCAAAAATACATGCTAAAACAAGAAAATTTACTTAAAAACAATTACAAGACTATCAACATTACATAATATAAGACATTACATTAGATAGCTACTCTATATTTGAAAAAGAGCCTATTGAAAAACTATTTTTTAAAACGCTCGGTATTGACCCTAGGGAGTTGACTACTAGGAACTCGGAGGCGCGCTGAGCTTTCTTTCGTTTTAGGGACAGAAGAGTACAGAGGGTGACCAGGCATACTGGATATCTTCTTGAAGAGTGAGCGATCAACCTCTTCTAATACACTATATATATCAATTTGATACGAAATATATTTGCCTTTAAAGCAGCGCTGTAGAAAATTTTGGACCGTTGTTAATTCAGGTATTGAGGAGGCGTATATGGATAGACCATACGTTAGTTTAGGTAAAACAGTTGATCTGAAAAAGTAATCTACCTCTGGCTGTTGATATCCCTCTTTGCACAAACACCTTATCACATAAAGGCACTTATTGGCTTCCTGCAGCTTACCCTTAATATGCTCATTAAACCTGCCATTACTCTGTAAAGTAACCCCTAACACTTTTAGACAAGAAACTTGCGTTATATTGTTTACAGGGTCAATATCACGAGCAACCTTCTTACAGAGTATTAGTTCAGTACATCTTTTGGGACTACATGCCACGGCATTATCTTGGGTCCAACTGAAAATCTGATTGACAACCTCTTGAGAAAGATCCATTTCATTTTAACATACTTTGACTAGTAAGGTAGCGTCGTCAGCATATTTAACTATGCTGGTAAGGTCACTATCACTAATGGTTAAATCGTTGATAAACAAATTAAAAAGATGAGGCCCACTGACACTACCCTGGGTTGTTCATTTGTTCACATTATGCCATTTGTAAATAAAACCCTTAAATATTAGTCTTTGTTTCCTATGCATTAGACTGAAACTTAAGTATCAGTTGACAAGATAAGGATTGAGATGAAGAGCCTTTAGCTTTTCCCCAACTAACGAGTGTTTTATATTATCAAAGGCTTTCGAAAAATCCATCGCGAAAAGCCTAACATCATTACGATCTTTATCATCAAGGTGTCTACACAGCTGTAGCTATAGGGATATTGTGTGACCGTCAGATTTTCCTCAAAAACTTTCTTACTGGAATGATGGTATACAGTTCTCTCAAAACAGCGTGCTATAACTGGAGTTACATTAATTCCCCGAAAATCCGAATATTGAACAGGAGTGTCTACCTTTGGGAGGGGGTTGATGTTAGCTTCTTTCCAAGCTGTCGGCCAAGTGTAAGAGGACAGAGAGTTGTTCCACAAAGCAGTCACCAAAGGAGCAAGACCTGTGCAATTGTCCCTCCAAACCCAAAACGGCAACCCATCAGGGCCAGTAGCGTTTTTTTTAATCTTTGATAATGCCATCATCACATCAAATTCGTGGAGCTTTGGGGGTGGGTGTTTCTCGGGGTTTACCCTGAGAGGCACTGGTTTAATATAGTTCTCATGCGTATGATGCACGATCCTCGCAGTAGAGAGCGCTATTAATGCAATAGCGAAAATCAGACCTTATTACGAATCAAGTTTACGGCCAGCTCTCAGTTGGCTTGTTAGCTCAATTGGTAGAGCGCTGCACTAGTATCGCAGAGGTCAGTGGTTCGAATCCCGTACAGGCCTGATTTTTTTCAGGTCTGATTTTCGCTATTGCATAAATAGCGCTCTCTACTGCGAGGATCGTGCATCATACGTATCTATAACCGCAGTTCGAAATATATGAACTTCATATATTCATCGTATAGTTCTCATGGTTGCACAAGTCGCCAAAATAATCATTGAGACCAGCAAGAATGTCTATTTTCTTTGATATATTTTCCTTTTAAAGCACCTCTCTAGGAAATTTTGTATGACCGTGAGGTCTGAATCTACCGCAACATAAATGAATACACCATAAGTGAAATTCGGTAGAACTATGGTGCTACTTAGGCGGTCAACTTCGCTTTGACTGAAACCATCCTTCCATAGAGATCTTAATATAAATAGACACTTATTCGCCTCCATCAGCTTAACTCGTACATGTTCGCCGTACTTACAACTTTCCTGAAACATGACACCTAAAATAGACAGCTCCGTGCATTGCGGAATGTTGTTAACTGGCGCTATGTTCTGACTAAAACCTTTCTTACGAAAGATAAGCTCCTTACATTTTGACAGGTTACACATCATGCTATTGTCCTTAGACCAAGTTATAAACCGATCAACTAAATCTGTACAACAGTGGCCGTTACTCCAAACTGGAACAATGCGGGTTGAATCGTCAGCGTATTTAAACAAAGCAGGATGATTATCTAAGCTAATTTCTAGATCGTTAATAAAAATACTGAATAAGTATGGCCCACTCGCGCTTCCCTGAGTAGTTCCCCTATTAACACATTTCCACTGTCCTCGAAAACTATTGTAAATCCCGCACTGTTGACGTTTCTCAAGAAAGCTTAAGTACCAGTTGATTATAAATGGATTTAATGGTATCTGCTAAAGCTTAATAGACAAAAGTTCGTGATTAACGCTGTCAAACGCTTTACTGAAATCCATAGCAAATAACCACACAGCTTTGCACTTAGGATCGTGGAGATAGTTGTACGTGATGTGCTGCATACTTATAAGTGCATCTATACAGCTCCCCCCTGTTCTGTAAGCGAGTTGAGGCGAGCTCAAGTGTTTCTCAACAGTGTCCCGCGCGTGGATGTTATTCACGCACTTCTCAAAAGCTCGCGCAATTATTGGAGTAATATTGATCCCTCTGTAGTCTGTCTTTCCCTTGGGAACATCAACCTTAGGGAGGGGTGTTACGTGAGCTCTTTTCCACGATGAGGGCCAGGTACTAAACTTCAGAGACAAGTTCCAGATCTTACAAATTATAGGCGTAAAAATTTCTGCTTGGTCTTTCCACACCCAAAAATGCATGTCGCCTGGTCCAGTGGCTGTTTTTTTTTAAGAGCCACACCTGCCTTTCTGAGATCTCGGGAACTTGGACTCCATTCTCCACTTGGGCAGGTGTGGAATGTTTATACTCAGTGTCCCAACATAAATCAGCAAAATAGTCATTCAGTTCAACCAGCGATTGTATGTCCAATTTAGTCCAAGCTGAGTGACAGCGACGCTGTGACAGGTCATCTACATATTTCCACCACTCCCTAGTACCTATGGGTGCTTGCAGAAGATTTCTTCTGTTAAACGTTCTTGCTGATCAGTTCACTTATTCTTCTGTTTATCTCACGTAGCTGAACTACATTGTTTGAACCAATTCTCGATTTAGCCCTCATCAAGAACTTAACTAAAGGCGTCATCCACGCCGGATCACGCGATGACATGCGCATTCTCCGATAAGGCATGCACCTGTCCATGTATTGTGAATAAGAGTCTCTAAAATATTCACCGCCTCATGAACGTCCTCTTTTCTAAGGACACTTTCCCAAGTCTCGCTTGCTAGTTCCAGATATAACGCTTCCTTTTGGTGCTTCCTACAATCCCGAATGCGAACTGGTTGGCGCACGGGTTTGAGTTTTATTCCCACTGGTAGAATGACCGCCGTATGATCCGTTTTGATCGATATGCAATACGAAGTACATTTTCCAAACAAGTCCGGTCGATTCGTAAAGACATTATCCAAAAACGCAGCACCTTTAGTTGGAAAGTCCACCAGGGAATAGTCCCTTTTACAGTTGTGGGCTTGGTGGCCAAGCCTTTGAACAGGAGTGAGGCTAAGGGTGACCCTGTTGTGATAGAGACCTGTATCTAGTTGGCATGATAACAAAGTAATTTGCATTTGAAAAGCAGCAACATCTCTATCATAACAAGGTCACCCTAAGCCTCACTCTTGTTCAAAGGCTTGGCCACCAAGCCCACAGCTGTAAAAAGAACTATTCCATCCAGTCAACAAGTACAATTCATTAACGTCAAACTGATTAGTATCGCCACCCATAACAATGGTCAATCCAGGATGTTGATCTAAGGCGTTGTCCACTAAATGAACAAGGTATTGTAAGAAGTCCGAGGACCTGTATGTTGGTTGAGGCGGGTGGTAAATACCACACACTAAAAGTAAATGTTTCGAGGGTAATCTAAAAGTCAAACACAACAGTTCATATAGCTTTGATCTATACGCATCGATTACGTCTAAGTTACTCCTCTCAAACATAGCAATTCCACCTTTACTTCTGCTGTCCAGGCCCGACCAATTCTCATCTCGTCTAAATATATTGTAGCCCGTTATGTTGACAATTGCATTCGGCATGTCTGGCTTAAGGTAACCGGAGTCGAGTGAACCAATCAGAGTACTAGAAATGGAATATTTGGAATTAAAAAAATTACTGATATTACTTATCAGTTTCCACAAAAGAGTGGTGGAGTTGCCAGTAGCGGTTCCAGCGGGAATGGTCTGGGGGTCAGGCCCCCTCTCCATCAATCCTAAGGCTTTGTCTCTTTTTACTACAAGTCTGACACCAAAGTTTTTGCAAAGACAGAATAGTACGTTACTTTACACTCAATCTGGAATATTTACAATTTACTGATATTGAAATATTTCTTAGCCAATTAAGGCTTAACAGGAACCCATTACCCTGAGCTTCCATCTTCCATACTGACCCTCTGAGCCAACCCTGTCCCGTATCTTTCTATTTTTAGAAGCACCTCCCACGGCGGTTTTCGCGGGTGTTTTTATAATAGCCAATCATAAGAGAGCTGTCGTCTCTATTGTGTTACGTCTCTATTGTGTCACTTGCAGGCCGCACGAAATTATTTCAATAATGGCGGAAAGCGCGGAAAGATTAAAGAATCTCCGCAAATATCTCAGTTCTAAAAATAAAAAGATACGGGATAGAGTTGACTCAAGGGTACAACTGAGATGGAAGCTCCGGGCAATGGGCTCCTGGGCTTAAGCATAAGGAAACAGAACATTATGCTGCATAGCAACCGGAAGGCAGTATAGATCTTTCTAAGTGAGCGTAATATGTTCGAAGAAGGATGAGGAAAATGTGCCGCGGCTTTAACCAGACGACTTAAAATATGATTGAATGTTCTTGTGATAACCACCACACATTCTTTCTTACTAAATGTGGACTTTACCCCTTAAATTTCTTCGGTTTTTGCTATGAAATTCGCGGTAGAAATATCTTAGCTCAAGGGACTTGCAACTGCGATGGATCAAGGGGAGGGGGGGATATAGGGGTCCGAAACTCGTCTCTATCAGACCTGCGGGTTTTTTACTGCTTCTCTAAAACGATATTTTTGCAACCCGAAGATCGCCGGCATATTATTACTTAACTTAAAGTATTCAAAATCTAGTTAACATGAAAGGTTCCTCTGCTATATTGTGTTTGTGTTTCCGATACCACAGGATTTTGGCTAAATCTAATAATGGACCCCCTCATTCGTAAAAAATTCCTACATGGGACCGCCCCAGCGAAAGGCTTCCTGAATCTTTTCCGATTTATTGTTAGTGTGGAAAATGGACCGAACTTAGCTTCTCACTACGCACAAGAAAGACTAAGAAAAAAGGGGTGTGTCTTAAGACGTTTTGCCAAGATTGGATTTTTATGTTTGCCTGAGGGTTAAAATGACCAAGTCGAAGTCCTACTTGGGCCATAGGAAGACGCAATTCCCTCTTTTACGAGCGCTACTATAAAATAAGATACTTAATTAGGCAAATAATTCATTAAACCTTTATTTTCAATGAGACTGTGCGTCTAAGATTAATCTATATAAATTAAAATGCACAAAGTAAAATATAGGTGTTAATCAAAAACAGTTCAGTATACAAAAATTATCTAAATAAACTTTCTAGTTTCGGATCAATGATCCGGACCAAGTCAATATGAGCCTGTTGTTATCAATTCTTGATTGTGTGCAATTCTGCTCAAATGCCAAAAACCGAACACTGTACTTTGTACTCATTTTGTAACTATATTAGTGATTTAACAAGCCATGCGCTGTGTCTCGTTACTGAGCATGATGATTCCAAATCTATCAGAAAAACTTTGTACTTGAAATTAAGAATGACTTTCTCATTAATTCCATGAAGAAATCTTCACATTAATACGAAACTTTCAATTCGTCTTAATATTTCAGCTGTTGCACTCTACTTTTGTTCTGAGAACGTGTTCTTTACTTAAAACTGTTATCTTTAGTTCAAGTTCTCGTATTGATTAAACTCGAAATCATAATCCAACATTTAGGATTTTTAGGTAGCCATATTGAGGGTACAAACCCAAAGTAATTTTAACTACGAACTCCATTGGCCAATAACTTGATGACACATTGATAATTTCCCGCATATTGTGCCATCCCATTCGCTCTTCTATGAATTTTGGATAGTTCAGATCTTTAATTTCACCACTTCTATATTTGATGTTGTAAAAGGGCAAAAAAATATGAAAAAGTTTGCTGTTCGTGAGCTCAAGACAGATGTTACCTAAGTGCCATAGCTGTCTGCTATCTTCATACTGTTTAATAAGTAGCTTAAGTTCTCTTTCATCCTCGAAATATAGTCGATACTTAGCAAAAGCTTTCTTATAACAAGGTAACAACAGAAAAACTTCCTGATACCACAATCTTGTCAAATAAAAAAGTCGCAATTCTAATTCAGAGGAATTAGCCGAACTAAGAAATTTTCCGAGCCATAAAGATACCCCCATAAATTCCCTTGCACAAACTACCTTTGGTATCCTTGGTTGAAAACCTCGACGTTTTGAGTGCCCAAATTTCCTCATTAATTCTAAAAAAATGTCAAGTCTAAGTAGGTCAAAACGAATATCAAAGTTTTCTGAAAGTATAGAGATGCAACTCAAAGAGGAGTTATACCCATAAGTAAGAGAAGATATAAATTCAGCAAACAAATCACGAACACCAGGTCTTAAATTCACCTTTCTGTCCTTCGGAATCCAGTAGTACAACCTGTTAAAGATTACATTGTATTCGGCATGTCTAGTTGGATACTGCATCCGACCCCCCAGAGTCTCAATAAACCTAACAACTTCGGCCCACGGGTTTGAAACGTATGGAAAATTATCATACGTAAAACCTTTGTACGTAAAACCATCGTACGTAAAACCTTTATGCGTAAAACCATTGTCCTCCCTTTGCTTGCTGTATATCATTGCTAAGTACATTGGAGTTATTCCATCTCTGTTAGGACAATCAATATCTAATTGATGAAGATCTTTATCTTCAAAGATCTCTCTAATAAAGTGCAGCAGGCCTCGAGAGGCTGCTAAGTGGTATAGAGTCAGCTCAGCTTTACTGGAATTACATATGATTTGGAAGCCGCTTGTTTTCATCTTATGGCGAAGAAGTTCCAGGGCTACAACAGAAGCTCTATAAAAGTTCGAGTAACTATTTCGATCTCGAAACAACTTTTTGGTATTTCCAGCATGGAGGAGAGCTTGTGTCAAAGCATCGTATCCATCTGGGCCTAGGGAAGACTGGTTTGCACCGAGTCTTATGAGGTTGGAAACAGCAACTGTGTTTGCGCCTTGTGCTGCTCTATGTAAGGGGGTAAATCCTTCAGCATCTAGACAGGAATCGATTAGCTTGTACTTTAATGGATGATTTTCAATTGCAGTGAATAAAGGTCCTGTTTTGAGGGAGCACGAGATATCGTTACAGGAGATTTGTTGGAAAAAATTATCATTGTCCATGCTCGGTGGGGTATAACATATCAAATGAAATTCAGAGGTATTGAATGGCTCTCCGCACTTGATTTCAACCGAAGCATTAAACTGTTTAAGGACCACGTCTATCCATTCAACACCAACTTGAAGGAAAGTTAAGAGAGGTGTCCTTCCTCGGGTATCTTTACAGGTGACGCTTGCTCCCTTTATTAGCAGAAGCTGAACAATGAGCAGCCGATTTTTCATAATAGCATGGTTTAGCAAACTCTCCCCAGAATGATTACAGTTCACCAATGACGCTCCAGATGAGAGCAGAAGATAGACTACCATTCCATGATCTTGTAAATAATCTTGAAGCTGATCTAAAGGTCTAATCGTCCCTTGCTTGGGTCCCACTGCAGCGTTCTTTATAGCTGTAGTCAATGGTGTTTGACCAGACTTATCAAGAATGTCAAGCAGTGACTTTCTTTGCACAAGGACATTGACAGCATCAGCCAAACCTCTTTCGGCAGCTAAATGCAATACTGAACGACCATGCACATCGACTGCATTTATATTGGAGCCAAGTAAGATCAAATTGATGAATAAATCTAGCCATCGGTAAGAGTTTGTGTTCCTAACGTGGCTGTTGTCATCATGGTAAGACCTAGCAAGATGAGATAGATGATGGCTAGAATGAGCGTTAAGGATACAATAATGCAATGCTGTGAAGTTACTGTTATCAGCTGCATCAAGGATCGCTCCATGGTAAACTAAATGGTTAGTTATCTCTAAAACTCCACATGCTGCAGCGCTATGAAGAGGCGTCGATCCATTGAAAGTTCTGCTACTAATGTTAGCACCAAACTTGACAAGGACCTCCACTATGTATTGATGATTATGGCAAGTTGCTACATGAAGTGGAGTCGATCCAAAACAGTCTTTAGCCTCAACCGTTGCCCCGTTTTGTAGAAGATCAATTGAAATTTCCCAGTTGCCATATCTCGCGGCCAAATGAAGAGGTGTGTATCCACACTGGCAGATATCTTGTTCATATTCCATCCATTCTTTACGACTCATAATCATACCCCTGCCTCCTAAACTTTGAAAGGAGTCGCATGCTGAGTCTTTTTCTATCTGTTCTTCCTTAAGCAGAGTCATCACGATTTCTTTGTTGTTTCTTCGAACCGCTTCGTGTAAGGGTGTTCTTCCTGAATAATCTTTACACGCTAGCGCACTTTTGTCGCTAGAAATAAGCTCCTTGACAACTTCATTATGGCCTAAAGATATTGCTGTGTGGAGCGCAGTTTCACAGTAGATTAAATGTTTATCATCGAATAATTCGCCATACAAGATCGAAGAGTTCGTTTGGCCGTCGCCTGAAACATGGAGAAATAACGTTGTGCGTCTAACTTTAAGCTCGAACTGGCCCATTTGAGACTTTAACCAATAGAAAGAGCCATCACACCTCATGCATGTATCTTTGACACCAATACCCGAAAGGAATTTTACCACATCTAACTTGTTGTTAGATGCTGCATGATGCAGAGCGGTTTGATCTGCGACTGCCCCCGCCTTGTGTAACGCCTTTAAAACTTCCAAATGTCCTTTCTCAGCGGCTATCTGAATTGCAGTTTGGTTAACTTCGTTTACAGTGGAAATAAATGCTCCATTGTCTAGAAGGAAATTTACAACCTTCAGATGGCCTACATGAGCTGCTGCGTGAAGCATGGTGGCCCCTCTAAGCTTCAACTTTGATTCCAAAACTAAATCGATATCAGAACGGTGACTCAGTGACGAAAACGATTTTGTTTTAATATTAACATTGGCTCCTTTCTTCACCATTAAAGCAAGATTGTCCACAAGTCCGTGCTCTGCCGCTAAAAATGCGGGTGTTTTTCCGAACATATCCGCAGAATCGATGTCGCTAAAGTGGCGCAACAGAAGCTCCAGTACGTCTGTGTTATTTATTGTGGCTGCGAGGTGCAATACTGTCCTACTACTTTCAGGATCCGACGAATTGACGACCTGAGATGGAAAGTTGAGAAAGTGTTCTACGTATGCCTCCTTCCAACCGCCATAAGCTATGTGTTGTGCCAATAGAAGACTGTGCTTTAATAACGCAGGCTTACCTTCCTCGGAAATACATTTAAAGTAAAAATCACAAAGTGCTTCGTGTCCTTTTGTTCTATTTACGTAAAATGGCCCATTCCTACCATTGTCGCTTGTAAGCCACTCGGTTAAAGACAAGTGATACAATGTTACTGTATCACCCTTTCCGTATCTCAGAAAATGTCCAAGCTCCTTCATTGTATTTTGAAAAACGTAGACTTGTTCCAGGTTTGCATCCTGTACTCTAAGAACGTCAAAAATCTCTTTTCCCGTGAGCGGCTGAAAAGTGGCCACGAGTAATTCTAAAACCCGTCTTACAGGTTTGAAGTGTTCCTCTCCATGATACAATCTTTGAAAGTAATTGTAGTATAACTCTTCTATCGTTTCAGGCAATGCATGTGGATCACTTTTTTTGATGCTTGAAGCTTCCCAGTGACGGATCATTTCTTTAACAAACAGGAAATTCCCCTGGCTTTTGCTCAACAAAAGAGAAATCAACCTGGCTGTGTTTTCTAAGCTAGCATCTCCAAACCAAGCTTTAACGCGGTGGGGCAAAGTACCATCTTGATAAAATCGAGTAGTCAAAAACAGTTCGATATCTTCAGTGTTTCGAGGGTCTTCTGGGTCAATGATCAACTTCTTTATGCTCCTTAGATTAAAGGAGATGATCGATTCATTACGAGAGGTCATCACAAGCTTCAGCCAAGATGGAAATCGCGATAGTTTGTTATTGAGCAAATATACGATACTTAGTCTAAATTTCGTTTGTGTGAGGCATTCATCCAAAGCGTCAATCACTAAATACCAGTTTTCCTTAGGTACATTCGTGAGGCTTTTCAAGGGTGACAAAACTGCTTGTTCAAAACATCCCATCGGATCTTGATTATTTACACAGTCAGTATGCAGTGAACGCAGAATGTGCGAACTATTGGAGACAAGTAAACCATATTCCGGGATTCTCTGTGCTATCATCCCTGCTAAATTACGAACAAACCTGCCTGAACTTTGTGTATTCTTGTCAGAATGTTTACACAGATGATATCCCAATATGTGTTCATGAATGGTGCGACTTGATGTACGAGAGCAAACTAATTGTGCAGACAGGGCAGACTTTCCAGTTCCTGGATCTCCGATGATCAGGACTCCAGTTATACCATTTTCTTGGACCGGATGATTGAGGACAGATTCCACCTCTCGATAAAGCCAAGTACGACCGATGAAGTCCTTTTTTGCACTTTTTAAGTAGTCAAACCAACCAAACTCTCTAATGTCAAATGGGACACTAAGATCCTCGGAGGGGCAGCCTGCAAAAATATCTTTATTTCTTTATCTTCCAGAGAGGAAAGCTTCTGGCGTTTCAAAATTGTTTTGAATCGGTGAAAGGAATACCGCCCGAAGTTTGACATTATCAAAAAAGTGAAGTATTTTCTTAAGTATGCGACAGTTATTGGCGATAAAAAAAAAGACTGGTTGCGCTGATTAAGGGACGCTAAAATGGGCTCCTAATATCACTCGCATCGGTTCTAGGAGGGAGAGTGTGGGGGTCCTGACCCCCTCTCTTCCATCAGACCTGAGAGACTTTTTTACTACTTGTCTGACACCAAAAGTCTGGCTTGCTCAACACATGTATCACGACGTATTAACCTAAGTCTTTGGCATCCAGGTCTAAAGTGAGGATAGAAGAGGTATGCCACAGCTTTAGCCATCTCGCTCAGACCAAAATCAGTAAATATTTATGAATGAAGGCTGATAGTTTCGAAAGAAACTGTTTGGGGCTGCGTCGGTGGGAGTAACGAAATAATTTGGATATATCAACAAAGTTGAAATGGTAAATTGGCCACCGTAACGATTACAAAAGCTGACGTTTCGAGCGTTAGCCCTTCGTCGGAGCGAATAGAGGAATTGTGGGTTGTGTGTGCTTTTAAAGGCAGAAAATGGAGCTACGTTATTGGTGGGAACATGGCAACGAGAAAAACA